GATGTAATATGTGTATGTTTGTGTATATGTGTATTCTACATAAGTGTTATCTTCACTACATATCTTTTGATATATGTGTCTCAATGCATGTTACTGCAGTGTACTGTAGGCTATTTGTTGTTCTGCTTTGGAAATCAAGCAGCAGACAGAACTTCACTCCACCACAGCAGAGAATAAGTATATACATAATACGTATGGGTGTTACCTGTTCCATTTAATGTATGCAGTCATGCCTTTAATGAATGTAATATAATAAAATACAGGCAATTTGAGTGTGCAAGAATCCTAAATAATGATTTGTAGGGGATACCTAAATGTTGACACATGAAAGCTTGGCTCAAATATCAAAGAATCACTTGGCTGTCAAATATGTAAGTCACATGCTAGTTGTCATACAAATTTAAACTTCACTTCATTACAACGGACACCAAAGACAAAGTAGGCTAATAAAGTGAAGAAATTTGGAAGTCATGTTTTAATTAACAAAAGCAGCATGAGAGAAATATTCCTAATAGACCTATCATGTCTTAAATTTATAATAGGCTACATAAACAGGTTTTAATATTAGAGTTTGAAATTAGATGCAAAATCTCTTGTTTATATGGTTAGTAAAGTGACACAGCTGTCCTTTATTTACTTTACCACCTCTTCCAAGTCCATGATGTGTGTGGAGCTCAAAATTCCTAAATTTGTTTTTAGCAATTGAAGCCAGCGAAGAGGCCGTGTCCAAACAAACTTTTCCAGGGGAAATGACGCACTGTGTGAGGGTTTCGAGGCATGTTAAATTCAGTTTCTGGTTTTGCAAATCTGTGCGCACTTGTTTGACTTGGCGGGTAGCTCAAGTCAGTGTTTCCATGCTGCATAGTCGAGGAATTTAACCCTTTAACAACTTTTGTCTAAGTAACCAGTCCTTGTTTCTTATTTATTTTCAACCAATAAAGGAACTAGGAGTCAACATCATCACATGACAAAGGTTTAATTAAGGCTTTCAATTTTTTTTCCGTTTTTTACTTTATACACAACATATGATGCCTTTGGTGTGGGAGTGGCTCTGGTAATTTTTTTTTTTTTTTTTAAACAACAGATCCTACCTGTAGCTGTTCTTGTTGGGAATTTTTTACATTTAACGGTCTGCTGCCGTCTATATTATTAGGGGCTATTGTTTTCATGTTTTCATTACTCCTGTGTATTCCTTGATGTTTGGAAGTATAGCCCAAAGTGTTTAGCCCTACTACACATGATCTAAAACAGCTGGGTTACAGGGATAGGCCTAAATAATCGCTTATTGCCATAATTTGAAAAGGTTGTTGACAGTTCGCTTTTGATGTTCTAACAACAGGTTTACACACAAACTGTACCTCCATGCACCCAAAATAAACAGTGGCCCTTAAGCTTTTCAGTGGTATCCAGGCAGTGCAGACCTCAAAAATCTATATCAAAGCTCACAAGTACAGTAATACAGAGAGCAGAGATCTTACCATGACTAGTGTTTCTCGACTTCTCGCCTTCTCGGCTGCCTCGGGAGTAACGAATGCAGCAGAATGAAGCCTTTCAGTGCGTCACCGCCTCTATGAGGTAACCTGTCTCTCTTCATACAGAACAGGAGAGTCTGCACGTGCTATGCCTTATTAATATTTAGTACGCTCTAAAATGAGGAAATAACTCGGCTAATCTTGTACTGCTGGTAGATGTCATTGTGAATGTTGCTTTAGATGTGTCCCACCACCCTTGGCAACGAGGGCTGAGGTGCATGTGGAATCTGCCCGGGCCAGGTAACACACCCCGAGGCTTTGAGCACCGTGACACAGCAGGCAGAGCTATGGCGGTTTGTTATGCAACTATGTTGGGGCCACAAGCAAAGAGACTACAGGTGCAGACTGTGGCTTTTGGCTTGTTAGTACATTTCCAGACAGTATAGTCCGCGGACTCACTTTCTCTATAATTTTTTTTTGTTGGCACAGGTGGTTTTGTATCTAATAATAAAATAATGGGTCCAATGCATTCTCTAACAGCTGTTGTAGCCAACTACTTTATCCTCATTTTGCATGGGACCTCTAATAATTCCCTGCATGACCATTATCTAACCCCATATCCTTAAAATAATAAAACAAAAATAAAGGGTATTCTTACACACCCAAACTTGTTATTCACACACACACAAACAAAGTGTGCCTGCTGAACATACCACTGACGTGCACCGCATTCACAAACAAATGCAAATATATTCTCCCTGCCTGTCTGTCTCTTTCTCTGTTTCGTTCCCATGACTTATTTATAGGCTACTGAAGCTGAAACCTGTCTCATTCTCTACCTGATGAAAAATTTACACATTGCCATTATTTTCTCACAGCAAAAGGCATAGGGGAAAACAATAAGTTAATCATTCAGGTGCAGTGATGTTGGGACTTAAGCTTTTAGATATTGCTTTTCCAATATAATAGTTTGTGTGCCAATGTATTAAAATGATGCCACTTGGAAGTCTAGTTTTACCAGTTTGTCGCTAAATAAACAAGCATTTGATGAAAAACTACAGACATGTTCAAACTTTGAGAGAAAAAAATGTCACCTCTGTTGACTCCACTAATTGACCTTGTTTACAAGGATTAACTCTCCAGCTTGTTTTACACAGACAATGTGTGGGGGTGATTCTGCTTTACCCAACAAGCAATGTCTGTTGATTCCAATTGGAATATGTTTTCATGCTTTTATCTTGTGTTGTTTTTGTATTATTGTCTTTTGGGTATTATTGTCTTTACACTTGTTAAAGCACTTTGTAACTTGTTTTTGAAAAGTGCTCTACAAATAAAGATTATTATTAATATGCAGTGTAATAAGAAGTTGCACTTTTTTGAGGTATTTGTTTTTGCCAAGAATCGTTTTCAGCAGTGCCCTGCACATTCATACAGTTACAGACACGCTTACCTGGCAGCTGCTCACTGCAAGCGTCTCCTTTTGTCACACTGAGCAGCTCCACTAGAGGCATGTGGAAACAACTGCTTTGTTGATGTTGGGGGAGGGAGTAAGAGCCTTCTTACTTCTACCTTCTTGGATATTTCTTGGATATCAGAATTTGTTATTACCATATAGATTAATGCTGAAATTCAAGGCACTATCTGTTTCTATTTAATTTCATGGGGTATAATGATTACCTGGAATCACTTGGGGTAGTTTCTGTGTCTCCATTATCAACCTTTGTTTTGTTTCCCTTATTACCCTGCTAAATGTAAGTCTAGCATTACCCAGATGTACCCACTGTTAATACCAAGCTATTACCTGGTTATTACGTTGGTAATTACATGGTATTACTCAATTATTACCTCTTTATTATCAAACTATTACCCCACCATGTTATTACTGAGTTCCAACATAAAGTGCTACCGAGATTTGAATTGTCAGGCTTCTGGAGCCAGGGTGACAATCCTCTGAAGTTAGAATAAGAATACATTATAGGCTTTTTTGTGCCTTAGGAAGGCTATTAAGTGTGCACTCAATAGCCTTCCTTCCTCGGCAATTTTTAAGATTAGTCCCATGTCTCAGAAGCACCTTTTCTTCTATAAACCTTTCAAATGGGATTGTAACTGTGATGTAAGGGTTTAGCATCCCAATTTAGAATAAATTATGTTTAGGGTGGCTATATAATTTAGCATAATAAGTGTGACTCTCTAAAGCAATACCATTGATTGCTCCTTCTTTTAATGAGAAATTGATGCCTCATAGTTCTGGATGTTTGATTGGTAAGATGTTGTTCTTCAGTACAATGATTTTAAATATACATTAATAATGTTTCTGCTTTCAGGGATCCTATTAGGTTTTTCCTTACAAAAGAAGAAAGCCAATAATCAATTAAAAACTGGTCTGATGAGTATGTTCAAGACTTTTAAATCTTTTTATTGGAATAACTGACCCAAATCCCTATCCTGCTACTAAATACTTGGCTGCAATGCAGAGAGAGAAAGAGAGATGAATAGAGTTTCAGCCTTGTATATGGTGCAGTGAGTCATCAGCAGTACCAATGAGAGTGTATTTATGTTGCACATCTACTTACTACTACCCCACCACTGATGAATTACCAGAGAAGAATATGCTGATATTCTTGGACAACATACAACCAGCAGTCATCCTGGTGTTTATGTAACCATTAGCTAAAATAGCTAGCTCTTAATAAACAAGTAGGCCTACACCTGAAAATTTTTTTTGATTTAAGACATTAGACTCAGACTGACATTTGAGATAATTACCAGGTCATGCAAGATCAGGGCTTTTTGATACTTCAATAAGGTAAACCTTGGAGGTGGTTGAGGAGGCATTCGTCTTTAGTATATTTCTTCTTTGGTGGTTATCCTTGAAAAGGGGTGTGATGTTGTCTTGTTGATGTTGTACTGTATATCACTGCTCTGGCTCATATCACGGAAAGCATGTGCTTGAAAGCTTTAAAATATGTTGTGTGTCTTGTCTTTCTTGCAACCGAATATGTAATTACCATTTGATTGACATTGTATTTTGAACACCAAACAGATACCAGAGATTTTTCTGCATCAACAAAATGCCAACATTTTTCCTTCCTTTCTCTCTTGTCCCTCCCTCACAGTCGCTCCCCCATCGCCACTAATTTGTTGAAGGGTCATTGCAACTGAACAACTGTCAACCACATTTCCTTCAGAGACCACCCTAGGGCATTCAGGAGAAAGAGCAGACTTGCTGCATGGAATGCATATAACTCCATTGCCCCACCCACTGGTTTTTGGTACTCTTTACACCCTTGGAGGCCAGCACCCGCAGTCAAAAGTAGAATTGGAAAGGGTTGTTCAGAGCATGTTGAGCCTGGAGTCAACAGCAAGTCGTTCTGCGTGTTTTATATCAAATGCACATAGGAAGTTGGATTGACTGGGTGTGAATTCATTTATATGAAATCACATTAAAGGAGAGACATAGATTACTGACATTAGCGTAGATTGGAGTTTGAAGAACAAGTAAGACAGATGAAGATTTACTTTCAGTTTTCTCTTTAATTTGTTTTCCATAAATGACCCTATCAGCTTTGACATTGTACAAGACTGTGATTCACTGCTGTTCCCTGCTTCATCGTTCACCACAGCAACCACCTCCAACAATGTGTAATTGGTTTTATTTTGAAGTTTTGCCATTCACAAATGAGGGAATGACCCATTTCACGTGGTGAAAACTGTTAATGGACCCTTTCTGCAGTACTTCCCACAGGTCTCCTCTCACACCAGTCTTTCAGCTTATTTGAGGGTAATGTACTCATCAGAAAAGAAAATCCTGAAGACACAGGAGGTCTACTTGATGATGAATCTCAGCATGGTAGATTGGCAGGCTTGGCGTTAGCGTAATCAAAGTGGGCAGACTACGCATCTGTCTCGTTTGTTTTCTTAGGTCCAAGCTGCGTTAATTTAGCTCTTATCCCAGGTCTCTTTGTGGGGCGATTGCACCGCTTGTTGGTTCGCTGCACTTAATCCAATCCCTGCACATCCTTTTCTGTCGCTGAAGAGTGTATTTCTGTCGTAGGTTGCCGGGGCTGTCCAGGCTGAGCCCTGCCCCAATTTAACCTCTGTCTATAACCATTGCTTTCTACTTGTCAAGAGTGATGCAAGACAGGGGTGGCCACTAGCTAACTGTAACCTAAACTAAGCTGGGTTTGGCCAGCTGGTTGGGGATTGAGTGTGTGTCATGGTGTGGATCTGGCGTTGCTTTTTGGTGTTGTGCTGATGGGGTGATTTGCAAACTGCAGGCTAGTCAGTATCATGGAGCCAAAGGTCCAAATAAAATATAGGAACATTACAGATAGTAATGTTATTCTAAATATGATTGTAATTAATTTTCCAGTATTCAGTGTTTATTTCAGAACTCAGCCCAGTATATGTAATACCCAGGATGATTCTCACTCAAGCCTACGCATGCAACTGGATGCTGATTGCAGTTCAGTTAACGGCCACCGGTGTCATTAATAATTAAAGGTTTTCTGACAGTTACACATTGAACCTTTAATGTTTACATTACACAACCTCAGAGATTCACCTGCTGTCTTCCCACACAACTCTGACTGTCTGAACTCTGCTGCCCCTAATTTAGAGCTAAGTGCACCCCGACTGTTTTCTAAGTTCTTAGAAGCAGTTTTTTCATCCATCAGGAGTGGGACTGAACAACAATCCTAAGCATTACCTGTTCCCAGTAGGCCTAAAGTAACACTTTAATCATTAACAGCACCAGTAACACTTTCCTCTGCTCAGAGACATAAATGCAGTGATATTTGTGCTGAAAGAAAAAAGCATGAAGAAAGGAAAGTGTGGATGGCTTTTTAATGCTCTGTTTCGTTTTAAAACTGATCTCTAACACTATTCCCCATGACAGCTGCCATGATATTTCACTGTTTGGAAAATACTGAATTGCTGCTTATTTAAAATTTGATAATTCACAAAAAATAATTCAAGAATAACATTTCCCTGCTGGTGAGCTTGGTATAGGAAAAACTGCAAAACTCTAGCCTGCAAATGGTTCTGGGGGACTTACTAATCACATTTGTTCAGCCTGCTCCCAATTGCCTGCCTTTCAACAAACATGAAATATCTCAGCAGAGGACTGAGAACATTTATTTTACCGGATGCATCGGGAAAATAATAAAAGGGCTTTAATGGGTTTGTCAAAATCTGAAAGACTGATTTGATGGAGTCGGTGTCGCGTTAATGTTGACTGACTCTCTGGCATTCCCCGTGCATCCTTCCACCAGCTAAATACACGTAGCGCGGGCATTTGCTGATAAGTGACCATAACAGCTAGCAATGTTCCATTGCATAATCATCACCAGCTATGGCTCAAAGTAATTTAATTTGTAATGACTGCGAAGGAGATTTCTACATGAATAAAAACACAGAGCGAGTTCAGCGTTGCTCAGCACCAGTGTTTGTATGTCTTATGACCGAGCTCTTCTGTCAAATCTCTCCAAATAATGAAGATATTACCAACACATGGACATTCAAAATGATTTCTAATCTAAGAGAACTCTGTCTACAAAAGTATTATATAACATTTTCTCAGGTTACGTACCTGTAAGAGAAAAAAAAAACAATGATATGTTTGAATTTGTGCTACTAATTACATGGCTAATGTACACATCACTTTTTCTAATAGATATTGTTGGTAAACCAACTGGCATTTGAGTCCTATTGGCGAGATACTGGCCACTGTCCAGGATTGCACAAGACAACAAGACAGCAATAATAGCAGAATTAATTGTACAATGCATCTCCCGCTGGAGACTCCACTGCCTTTCTCATTTTCCTGTGTGGAAAGCAATCTAGTCCAGGTACAGTACAGCTGCGTTCAATTCAGAGGAGCCCAGTACTCCAAGTAAAATGGTACCCTTTGTGAGGCAATCTTCAGGAAGAAATGTCATCTTATAAGTGCGAGTTGCACATGATATGGAATTGTGTGCCATCTTTTGTTCCCTCTTACTTGTTGATTTATCTGAATGTATGCTTGTTTAAAATGCTAAAAATACTCGCAAGCAGATACACTTTACATGGTAAAAGGTAGGTGTTTGGCAGGTGAGTATTTATACCCCTGTTAGGTCAACCATGTACCTGTGAAGGGAAAGTAAGTCATATTACGATACCACCATTCCTGTGCCTGTGATCTCTTAATAGAAACGGACTTAGTGGATATCACAGTGAGCATTGTGAGACTGGCGTTCCAGTATGACGGATGGCTCATACAGCAGATCGTCCTCTCCAAGTATTGAACTGTGCTCCAAGTTCACAAAGTTAGGGATGTTGAAGTGGGAGAAGAAGGCACATTCTCGGTCTGTTTTCCGCTCATCTATTAGTCCCTTGAGAGGTTGGTGTCTCCCAGCTTCCTCAACATCCTCTTCCATCTCGTCGATCCCAGAGGAGTGCATGCCTCTGGCCCCGTTGCAGGTCCCCTGCTGGGCTTGGGCCCCGGCGTGCTTTCCAGCTTCTTGTTTTTGCTTCCCCAGACCCTGATCTTCCTCGTTGATGTAGAAATGGAAATATGAACGGGACTCCCCTAACAGCGGACGGGAGAAGGCTTTGTCATTTTCGTTCTGCGGACCGTCAATGTCTACGAGACAGCTCCCTGGTCGATGGCGTTTTTCAGCAGAGTCTGGGTTTCTGTTAAGAAAGAAAGAAATATTCAGAGTGAGACTGCAGCAGGCTTTGAAAATATGAGCAGCTTGAATTGTCATTTTTTCACTAGTCTTGTCTGGAAATAATTAAACTCATCCAGCACCACTTCCTGAACAAAAGAATGGGCGTAAACTACATACAGCCAGCCAATAAATTCCCTATTTACTCTTGACTTAACCTCAGAGCCTTACTCAGTCTGACCTCATATAAGTGATTTCTCTTCAGTTCCTACTGCTGATCTTCACTCGAGATGGCAATTAGCCTTTGGCCGTATGAAGCCCGCCTCCAAGTTAAATATCAGCTTCTCAAAAGCACGATGTCAGGAATATGAGACCATCCACCCAAATTAAAATTCCTCACAACTATCAGAATAACAAAAGCATCAGTGAAACTCTTTACAGTCCTCCTTCTCATGAGTTCAACCATCAGACATAAAAGCTGCCAAGCTCTGAGATCAAAAGTGCCAGAGCTGAATTGCTTGAGCTCTCCTTGGTGCTGAAACTGTCCCCCCAGGGCCATATTTGAAAGCGAAAGGAAAAACAGGAGATGCAGCATGCTGTAATACTCACTCTTGGTGTGGTGCTCCTGTCTTTGTGAGCAGGGTGAGAATAAAGAACATGAAAATGACAAATACAGCAAGTCCGACCCAGAAACCGATGACGATGGAGTCTGAAATGTCAGAGAAGAGAGAATCTTATTAGAGCATGTTTTTTAATGATCCTTCTCTCTGCTCTTCTCCCTGTACCTTAATTCCTATCAGGGGCCCTCTCACTGAGAGCAAAAAAAACCCCAATTACACAATTAAAGTGAGCATTCAGTATTTCTAAAATTTGATTACAGCAGTCTATTTGTCTGGATGTTTGCTGATTGTCATTTTTTTGTCTCGTTGAGTGGGTTGTTTATTACTACTGGAGTATACACAGGCCTTATCAGGTGCTGCATGAATTATTGCTGCCAGATCATTTGTTTAGTGAGAGGCATGTAGCGTGTCTCCCTTCAGCTGAAGCAATAAAGATAATACAAAAGTGAAATGTGCCTGGGGTAATCATTATTAATTAACATTCGTAAAGGTGAGTAACCCTGTTTGCACAAACACATACGCACACGCGCGCGCTCACACACGCACACACACACACCCACACACACACACTGGCATTTACACAAAGGCAGTAGGCTAAAAGCAATGGAATATTGTAATGTATACAGTTGTATTCAGCTTACATCTGTGCGCTTTGAGTCCCTCAAAAGACACGGGCTCCTCGTCGTCATAATATTCATACTGCCACACGTAGTCACTGCGACGCGCGCTGGTTTGGCTCCGGTTGTGGAAGTCGGACATTTCAAACCGATTTTACGTATCTAGACCACAGAAAGCAAATTAAATCAAACAGCGAGGACGCTACATAAACGTTAATATAGCCATAAACTTTACAAACCACAATCTCCGTGGATGTGAAACCTCTCTTTATTGTTGAAAACAAGTCTACAGCCCGTTGATTTGGGAATTTCGCAAATAACTCCTCGGATGTTATGTCAGTCTTCCGGAATTTAACAAACTGTCAAAAAGGTGGCAAAGGGCAGGGGAATCCATTGCTTGACCGTTACGCAAAAACTCCATCCATCCTCGTGTAAGTCTTGAAGCGAAGCAGCCTGCAACCCTTTTGGCGAGCGGCTCAGTGCGCGTCACCGTCATGCAAAACTCACTCCCCGTGATACCACATTGCAAAAAAAAAGAAATGCTCATCTTAAACAGCAGCCACCCAGTCACTGAGTCTGATTTTGGGAGCAGAGATGCTGGTTTCCTCGAATACATAATAAGGTGTTTCCACTGAAGCTGATTATTCTTGAGGAAGGTCTATTTTTAAAATATGTAGCCTATAATGATGAATTCGTACAACCTAAAAAAATATAAGACCTAGTAGCAGGGTGGGCTTGGGTGTGTGAAATTTAAATATCAGTAATCTATTAGTGCGTGAAACATATTTACACACAAGACAATCAAACAATCTATTGCTATAAAAATGCACAAAAGCCACTTAGTCTATGGATGTATTAAAAATGCAATTGTCACTCCGTTTTCCAATGCAGTTTCACTTGTTTCAAGAATTTCCTACGATCTATGATCAACATAACAGACTAAAGAGATTCAGGTCGCCTATCATTATTAATTTTTAAAATTAACAATAATATTGAAATGAAGGGAATAACACATGAAGTGGAAACTACAAGCTTTGCCTAAACCCAGTTTGCCCATCAGAGCCAACCTGACCACTTCTGTCAACCCTCCCACTTTCATTACATTATTATTCATTTAGCTGATGCTTTTATCCAAAGCGATTTACAATTGCTATTCATGTCAGAGGTCACACGCCTGGGTCTCTCACACCAAAGGCAGGCATCTTATCCATTGCGCCGTCACCAAGCCCTTTCACCTCTACTCCATAACAAGACATTATGCAGGATTACATTAAAGTTATCCCAGCTCAGAAGAGTTTCATACCATCAACAGTGAGTCAGGAGGATTTTTTTAGATTTGGGGAAGCTCTTGAGCACCTTAACAAAATCAGCTGGTGTAGGGCCTATCTTTCCTAATGTTTTAAAATAACATGCTATTGAACTTCTCAGTAATGCCTTTTGGTTTAGTTATGCCTACTGTGAGAATTTACAATTAGCCAACCACAAAGTCTCTTGACAAGTGCATATCTAAATGGCCTGACCATTTACCATTTAAGTGGACTGAGGAGTTGTTGAATGGGTGTAAACAAAGCAAGCATGACTAATGATTTTGCAATTACTTGCACTGAGGAGAACGTGAATGGATGTGTCTGCTTGAGGCTGGAAATGCTTATTAAAACTCTGAAACACCACATCGCTAAATGCCCTCTTTTATGCTTTGACAAATCATCATTCAAGAAAAAGGCTTCATTAGGAGTCCCGCATTACTTAATTTTTTTGAGTACCTCTTAGGCAGAGCCAATTAAGGCATCCATTCATTCACTGAAGCTGCATCAAAAATTAATTTTCCAAATCATAAACACCACATTCAACAGAATGATTACAAATGCATCAAACACATTAAAATCTCAGTGCTATTAGTTCCCTTTGTATACTTCACTGTGTTGGACTGATCACAGCAGAGACATAGAGTGCCAGTGACCCGTTTTCTTTTGCACATTTGGTGGTGCTGTATTAGTACTATTCCTGGACAAAACCACACAGTAACATGTTTGGCAGAGCTGGTGTTGTTTTTGGCCATCACCACAGGATGATGATCAAAGAAGATTTGGCAAAACCCACAAAGCTTTAAACATAATCCTGTTCCAGATCCTTTAAATTAAAGCCATTTTGTGCACTATTTGAAGATTTCTCATTTTGGCGCCATCTGGTGGTAGTGTCAAGAAATACATGGTAACAAACCAACCTGTTGCCAGAAGGTATGTTGACATCAAATGATTCTCCAAGAACCGGGGTTACTTTCAGGAACTTTTTTTTGAGGTTACATGCCAACAGACTTAAAATTATTTTGAAAATATCTGCACATGGCAACTACAGTAAGATTAGGTGCACCTTGCTAGTGCCGGGTTGGACCCCATTTTGCCTTAATTCTTCATGGCACCACTTTCAACAAGGTGGTGGAAACATTCCTCAGAGACTTTGTTTCATATTGACATGATAGCATCATGCAGTTGCTGCAGATTTGTCGGCTGCACATCCATGATGCGAATCTCCCGCTCTACCACATTCCAAAGCTCAATTGGTACTAAGGGGCCAAAAGTGTGCCACCACACCACCAACACCAACACCACCACCAGCAGCCTGAACCGTGGATGCAAGGCAAGATGGATCCATGGATCTTGAAATTAGACATTCATCAGACAACGTTTTTACAATCTTCTATTGTCCAATTTTGGTGAGCCTGAGAATTGTAGCCTCAATTTCCTGTTCTTACATGATCGGAGTGACAACACCCGGTGTGGCCCATCTGCTCAACATGGTTGTAACAAGTGGTGATTTGGGTTACTGCCTTTCTGTCATCTCGAACCAGTCTTCCCATTCTCCTCTGACCTTTGACATCAACAAGGCATTTTCATCCACACAACTATCGCTCACAGGATATTTTCTCTTTTTCGGACCATCTGTAAACCCTCGAGATGGTTAACACCTCTAACTCCTAACCTCTAACATTCACTTCCTGTGCTCTTCTTCTTCTATCCCCTTACAATTATCTTGTATTGATTGCAATTTTTTGTTAACTCTTCCTTCTTTCCCTAGGTATTTACCCCACTGATGCGATATGTGCTATTATCTCTTACTAGTATTTATTACTGCTCTTACTAGTATGTATTGTCATTTGTAGATCTTGGGCTGTTGTTCCCAGCATGTAATGTAGTGTAATGATTGATGCCATCTACTGATGCCAGTAGATCAGCAGTTTCTGAAATACTCTACTGGCTCCAACAACCACGCCACGTTCAAAGTCACTTAAATCGCCTTTCTTCCCCATTAAGTTGTCTTGACCACATCTGCATGCCTAAATACAATGAGTTGCTGCCATGTATTTGGCTGATGAGCCTACTGCCTATTCAATGGTTTGAATAGGTGTGTACCTAATAAAGTGGCCAGTGAGTAATATATATATATATATATTAGGCCTGCACAGCTGAAGGTGAGACTACATTGCCATTGTGACCCAGATCTTCACAAAAGAAAATTAAAATCTATGGTATAACAGGATGTCTATGAAGATTCTCAGTCATCCAGGTCATAGTTATCCAACGAGGGTTAAAATGAAGGGCAACTGGACTTGGTTGAAGATAAACCACAAATCTCATGCATTTTAGGCCTAAATATTATTTCTAGATTACATAGATTTACTCAGTTCAGTCACTTGTCTGCATTCATTTTTATTAAAAGCTGGAATAGGTAGAAAGGGTACATCAAAGCTTGCTGTGTATAGTATTATGTCTCATATTCATCTGCAGATCAATAATGCATATTTCAATGAAGGCAAGCTGTTTCTCAATCTGTTTCCTTTGCTTTGTTATTCTTTGTGCTGTTGCTTTGTTCTTCTTTATCCAGTGTGCTCATGGTGAGATGACTGTGCTGTCTTCACAGTGGATGTTGCAAGGACTTTGATCAAAAGAAATGTGTCCAGGGGTAGGCTACCTGGCAGCTAAATGGTCAAATTAACACAACTGATATGTGCCAAATGCAACTAGAATACAAAGTGTAAGGAACAGCCTTTACACAGCTGTAGAACAGCTCTGTATGCTGTTTTTTTTACTTCACCTAACCTTCTGTATTTAACTGAATATGACTATTATTGCCATCTGACCTTGTGGCTCTCAGTGGTTAGATAGAGAAGCAAGGAGTCTCGATTCCACACAGAACGTTGTTGTAAGCTTTGAACAGTTGTTCAGTTGTTTGAACGGTTGTTTTGTCACCAGCAACAGTAAAAGAGAGAAAAAAAGCCTTACTAGCTCAGTTTAGTATTAGCATGGTAAATTAGCATGTTAGCATGCTTGGAGGCAGCAGAAAAGTTGTGAACACAACATTATCATTCATTTAGAGCTATTTATGTCCACCTGATAAGTGTATATTCACTCTGTTTTAGCTCTACCAAGGTTAGGGAAAGCTTCCACTATTCACCAACTATAGTTGCTAACTGTGTCTGTCAGGTGGTGAACAGTGGGCTTTTAGAGCTTTGTGAATCAAGACAGCTAAACAAGGAGCTGCTAATCGCTATAAAGCTCTGTAAAGCTGAGGGGATGCAGATTCAGGTGATGATTCTCTAAGTTTGTCATTACAAGTGCCCCCTTTTACATTGTCACATTATTGTGACATTGTCATTTGATACGTCGCTATTATAAAAATACATTTACTCATTTGGCAGACGCTTTTATCCAAAGCGACTTACATTTGAGGAACAACATACAAGCATCAACAGAGCATCAAATACAGCATGAGATCTACAACTGACGATACATAATAGTAAAAGCAGCAATAAATATTAGTAAGAGCTAATGTCACATATCACATCAATGGGGTAAATAGGGACAGAAGTAAGAGTTAACAAAAAAGTGCAATCAATACAAGATAACTGTAAGGGGATAGAAGAAGAGCACAGGAAGTGCATGTTAGATGTAGGAGTTAGAGGTGTTATAAGAGGAAGTGTTCTCGGAAGAGATGAGTTTTCAGGAGCTTCTTGAAGTTAGAGAGGGACGCCCCGGCTCTGATGGCGTGTGGTAGCTTGTTCCACCATTGTGGTGTCACAGATGAGAACACCTGGGACTGAGATTGCTTTGTGTGAAGGGATGGCAGAGCCAGGCGGCGTTCGTTGGAGGAGCGTAGTGGCCGAGAAGGAATGTAAACTTGTATTATGGAGCTTAGGTAGATGGGTGCAGACCCAGTAGTCACTCTGTATGCAAGCATTAGTGACTTGAATCTGATTCTGGAGGCCATGGGTAGCCAGTGGAGGTCACACGGTAATGGAGTGACATGAGTCCTTTTGGGCTGATCAAAAACCAGACGCGCTGCTGCGTTCTGAACCATTTGTAGGGGTTTCCCCACACAAGCTACAAGACCCGCTAGAAGGGCATTGCAATAGTCGAGGCGAGAGGTAACCATGGCCTGTACCAGAAGCTGGGTGGCATACTGAGTGAGGTAGGGCCTGATTTTTCTGATGCTGTATAGA